TTTTTATAGTGAAGCAGTTCACAAAGCAGACAATCTGTTTTGAATTCACTTTGTCCTGCTGATTTTTTATACTGAAGCAGTTTGGATTCAGCACAATTTGCTGACAGTGAGAATCAGTGTGATTTAATGGTAAATCTGTGGACACCAGTCCTACCGGTGTTACCAAAAAGACAGCATTTCTGTAGCTATAATGGATAAGCAAAAACTTCCCAGATTATATTCTGCTCAAGAGTTTTATGGGGAAAAATTAGCTCTGAGAATCACGGAATCATTTAGGTTGGAAGGGACCTTTCAAGACCATTGAGTCCAACCATCAACCTAACACTGACAAAAAGGACCACTAAACCATGTCCCTCAGCACCACAGCCTTTTAAATACCTCCAGGATGGTGACTCCACCACTTCCCTGGGCAGCCTCTTCCAATGCTCGATAACCCTTTCAGCATAAATTTTCTTCCTAATATCCAATCTAATGATGTAGAAGAACAAAGGTTGTCTGAGAGTGAGCAATCTCACTGAAACAAGATCCATTCTGTAACTACTGGAGTGAGACTTTTTTACAGTTGTACTTTCCTTAGTGACATTCTAGCAATGGAACGTGAGTAAAACCCCTCGTATCCCAGCACCAGCTCTCCAAGAACAACTGGTTTTAAGTTACCTATTTGAGAATTGAGGTTTCAAGCCAGCTTTGAGAAGCACTTCCAGAGAAGTGAACTGCTAAGAACCGTTAAGTTTTCCTTTGAAGGAATAACTCGTTTGGTCAGTTTGAAAATAACCTTAGCTCTATAAAGCAGTTCCTGGATCTCCACCAGTACCTACCTCTAGATGTCTACAGCAAAAATCCTGACTTGATCCTGCCAGGTATCACGATACAGTCTACAATACTGAAACTAACCCGAAAAATCTCTTTTATTGCAGTGCAATGTGCTTTAAATCGCCCAGCCTTTTTTGCGGAAAGACTTTATTATTCCATGAAAGGAGCCGGCACAGACGACTCTACCCTCATCAGAATTATAGTCACTCGCAGCGAGGTAAGAGACCTTTTCCTCTGTAAATGCCACACGGAGCAGAAACCTCTCTGCCCTCACCAGCCTTTCACTCAGTCCTTCCCTCACAGCTGTAGAAATTGTGTATTTTGATGGAGTTTTTATGGGGTTGGCACGTGCTCGCTGGGCTGTGCGGGAGAAGACGTGGGGTGACTCTCTAGGACTTAAAAATCCCACGCTGTGTTTAAATTTTGTGCCTTTTTTTTTGTTGTTTTTGTTTTTTTTCTTTGCACAGATTGACCTTGTGCAAATTAAACAGATGTTCACACAAATGTATCAGAAGACTCTGGCTACGATGATAGCAAGTGACACCAGTGGTGATTACAGGCGTTTGCTGCTGGCAATTGTTGGTCAGTAGAAGAGGATTATCTGTTCTTTTTGTTTTCTTTTTTAAAACAAACTGAAGGACATGTAACATGTAACATGCTTTATGCAGACACGGGCTATCCTCATGTGTAAAAGAATAATTTTAAAACTTTGTATAATCAAATAATGCTTTCTTGATCATTCCATAAGCTTGATGCACTTAAAATTGCCTTAATTTACAGCACGTAATATTCTTTATTGTATAATAAAAGATATATATCTTGTCTATTAGCCCCTAAGCCTTGGTCCTTTTGACCCAGACAGAGCCCCCTCCCCTCTGCCACATCCTGCAGCTTTGAACTGTTTGTCTTGGCTCAGTCTCCAGCGCTCAACAACTCCATTGCAACACCTGAATGGAACTGCTGAGCTGACTCGGGGTGACCAAAAAAGCCCCAGGCTGTGATGGAAAGCATTTGTCATACCCCCCTTTAATGTCTTCCCATTGTAACCTCCAAAAACACGCACGTGCTCAGTGCAAGTCACGTTGCAGTGACAGTTTAAGGTGCTTGGCAGAACCTGACTGTACTCCCTCATTTAATTTCTTCAATTAGTTCCGGTTAGTGGAGAGTTACCATTGTGCTTAAGACAGTGATGGAAAGGAGAAATCATCTCAGAATTAATACTGAAGTGCCTCCTGGTAAAGGAGTGGGTCACAGAGTGAATGCCTGAGCAGTGAAACAGCCAGAATCCGAAGGCAAACGCTACAGAACACACGTCAGTCCCAACTGAGGGCGATGGTGGCCTGGACAATACACACAGCTACGGGGAGGTCTTCAAAGGGGTTGAAAAGACCAGCTTGGAGCAGCACATTGGCTTTTATAGAAAGCCCCAGTGAATCCATCCCCAGCCATCAATGTAACAGAAGCTCCAAGGTCAGCAGTGTGTTTCCTGACGTTCCCAGCAATGCTTTAACAAACACCGATTGTACGACACAACACGCTCACACAAACAGCAAACCCTCGTTCTGTTTCCCCCAAAAAACCCGCCGGGGCTGGTGGAGTCCATCCTAATGCAGCGCCTTTCACACAGCACCCACAGACAGGCCTTTGCAAAACAATAATGACAGCAACTTTTCCAAAAAACCTGAACTATTTCTCTTCCATTGACGTTCTGCAACCTAAATCTGACACCAGACTATAAACTTTTCCTGATACTAAACTCAGTTCAGTTTAAAATTCCTGGGTCGGGTTAAAATGAATTATTTCAGATACAAACAACAGATGGAAGCTGACGTGGGGGAGTAAAAGACATTGGACTTGGCATTGCTCTGGTCATCCTTGGTGATGTATCTGGATTTTATAGATAGTTATAAGTTACCATCTGTCAATATCTTTCCAGGATTGATCAAGATTCTCATAAGCTTTGGTTCTAGTTTCTTTGCTCTTGAGCAAACTCCCTTATAAGTGAAGAAGTGCAGCATTTCGTAATTAAAGCTTATTAGTGCTTCTGTATCTTTTTACGTGACTAAAAAAATCCCCAGCACTTGGCATTCAAAGCAGAACGTCAATTAAGTCCAGCTCATCCACGCTACTGCTACAAGAAAACAGGCAGATGAATTGGGGTCTGTGTCCTGATGACATTCACCTCCTTTATGGCAAAAAGTTATTTTCATTACATGGTGATTGTTAAATGAGTGACAAGAATTGAATGATTGATAATGAAATCGTAGCACAAAATAGGCAAGGAAAAAAAATGTACAGATACGGTCCATCCGGCCTCTGGAAAAACCTGATTTTTCTATGTACTGACATGATGGTGTTTCGTAAATGAGTGACAAGAATTGAATGATTGATAGTGAAATTGTAGCACAAAATAGGCAAGGAAAAAAATGTACAGATACGGTCCATCCTGCCTCTGGAAAAAACTGATTTTTCTAAGTACTGACATGATGGTGTTTCAAGATTAAACGTTAGAAAAAAAGACCTTCTGCACTTTGGCTCCTCGGTTGGAGGGAAATGCATTTACACTTCTCAGAAGAGGCAGGACCCCCAGCCCAGCCCCGAACACCAGCCTCCTCCCCGGTGCTGCTGCAGAGGATGCTCTAATCCAGCAGCTCAGGGACAAGCGGCCTCTTCCCACCCGGTGTCCCCTCAGCCGGGGGCAGGAAAAGCTCCAGCTTCAAACCAGGAACCAACCACATCTCTCAGCTTTTGCTGTGTCCTCGGCTGAGAGTGCCATTTCCAGGCATTCTCCCCTCCTCTAAGGACACAGAGACTTCTCCTCCCCCTCCTTAAAACACTGAGAGCAGCAAACGAGCAACGCAAACGACTTACGGTGTTCTGGGCGGGAGGATGTCGTTTCTTCTCCCCACCAATGCAAGAACGAGAGACAGCTCCAGGCCCCACCTGTCAGGAACACAGGAGTAAAACAATTAAGTACCTGCTTTCCAAAGAAAACCCACAGACATATTCCTGTTGCCTGAACAACTTGCTTAAAGGGTGACGGGAGACACAAAGAATGAGGGATCAGGCCAACAACTGCCCAAGGAATGTTCCTTTACTGCAGATTTTGCCTGAACAACTTGCTTAAAGGGTGACGGGAGACGCACAGAATGAGGGATCAGGCCAACAACTGCCCAAGGAATGTTCCTTTATTGCAGATTTGCCTTTCACAGCTGGCAAAAACCACCACAGACAATTCCTGCGAGGGAATCCTGAAGGAAGCACCGTGGCAGCCGGGCACTGCCTGACACACAAGTATCAGAACCAGTTCTCTCCAACTGCAGCGAGGTCTTTCCAGACAAAGACTGAATCTGAATGTTCTCCACAACCCCAAGCCCAGCTGGCCAGGACACCCATCACGACCAAGATCTGAGTGTCAGATCATGAAAAACACTGTCTCGTGAAGCCAAGGAACCTTCCCCTAGAGCTTCCAGGCTGGGAGGGACCAGAAGTGTTCATCAAGTAAAACGTACACAGACCGTACAGCTCCCCAGTATGAAGGTACTTCATAAAAAACCCCAAACTTGCCTTTTTTCAACTTGATCTTCTGCACCCAAACTCCGAGAAGAGTTTCCCATTAGAACGCATCTGCAATAAAGGAAAACCAAACATTAAAACTCCGTTAGCAATATCCGTTGCTTATTCTCCTTATCTTTTATCTTAATTCTCATCCTGTTCAGCAGCTTCTCCTGCCTTCAAGAACACACCAGAAACACAGGTCTCTGTCTGGCCTGTGGGGACAGTTGGGTCTTCTCCCCCTGCCCAGGAAGCTGCCCCAGGACACACCAGTGTCTTGGACATTTAGCTCAAAAGCAACACACAGAAGGTAATTAACGCTTCTCAGCCTTTGTAGAATGGATTAACCCTGCTCTTAGGGGCTCCTACAAACCACCCAGGGGTGTCTGCTTCAGCAGACACAATATCCAGGTAATTTATTGATGAGAGAACTCAAAAGCAAAAAAAAACCAACCCAAAACATCAACAGTAACAGTTAAATGAAACAGCATTTCCTTGAAACTAGTTCTCTGCGAGTTAAATCTGACCTTTTAGGCTATTTTTTTTCCAATAGCTTAAATTTTGAAGAGTATTTCTAAGCAGTTTACAAGGTGAGATCAGCCAAATGAAAAAATAAAACCCATAGACAGCGATAGGAGCCGCAGCCCATGCACAAAATTTATTGTGTGCTACCGTTTATAAAATACTTGAATAGTTCAGAACATGCATAAAATTTCCAACTGAGGGGTATGTACAGGTTGTACTTTATGGCAAACAAAAATAATATTAATAATAATAATTAAAAAAACCAACCAAAAAAAAAACCAAAACCAAAGGGGAGATGAACTCTAGTGACAGAAGTTTCAAGTTGTGTTCCAGGGGACGAGAAGGACACGTAGCAAATGTCAAAATATATCGCAAAGTACAGTGGCAATCAGTACAGTCCATTGGTTGGGAACAAATCAGCACAGGGCTTCCATTATTTTTTTTTTATTATTGTAACCAAGCAGTCCCGTAGATACCAAAATACATGCAGTCTGGAGTTTAACACTTTCACTAATGCCTCAAGCAGTTGAACAGAGCAAGTGCCGACGCTGCTTCGCCTGAACAAAAAAAAGAAAAGAGAAGGGACGTCCCGCACAGTCTCAGGGTCCTCCCCGGGTTGGAACAGAAACCAGAAGCTCGCAGCCAATCAGCCCAGTGATTAGTAGCTAATTATGCAACCCTAATACTCACGAGAAACTAAAAGTACCCAATAACATCTAGGTAACCTAGAGATGTACATCGTAGGTCTATATATTAAATATTTGCCAAATGAAAACATGCATTACACAAAATACAATGCCAAGCTTTACAGACTTTGATATGAATCAAAATGTACTTAAACAATGTACAAAGTTCAATTAAAAGTACCTTAAAATTAACACTTCCATAATTTTCCTTACTTTTAAAATTAGTATATATAATAATTACTTTTTATTTTTTTTTTTTTAAAAGTCAAGGTGGGGAAGAGTCTTGAAAAAGCTGGGCAAAAAAGTTTCTAAATTAAATATTTTTTTTTCTTTTTTAAATCTGTGTTCAAGTAATAAACATTCCTACATAGAAATCTTCCGATAAGCTGTAACTAAAAAATACAGTGAATACAATATAGAATTAGCAACATCTAAGGAGTAAACCTGAGGTCAGCATTTTACAGAACGACCGACTGAGATTTTTTTTTATATTTTTTTTTGGCATTTTTTCCGTCTATTTCAAACACAGTTTTTTGCAGCCTCAGATATTTTAAGACCATTCTAATCTATCGTTTTAAAGACATTTTATGAAACCGATGTCCGTTAATAAATAGTTAGCTCTTAGGGTTGTACTTAAAAGTCTGATTTTTTTTTTTTAAAAAAAAAAACAAAACAACAAAACAAACAAACAAACTACCTCTACTGAAAAAAAAAAAAAAAAAAAAAAAAAAAAAAAAATCCCATTTTTGTAAACTTAAAAGTGTTGACAACGATAAGCATAAGACGCTAGTCTAGGTGTGCTTCAGCGAGAACAGCCCCGGGCTTTCCCCGGATCTCTCCTGCGGCTCCGGCAGCCAGCGATGGGGGTCTGGGGTGAGGAGGAGGAGGAAGAGGAAGAGGAGGAAGAGGAGGAGGCTCTCGCTCCCAGGAGGTCGGGCCACCACGTCGGAGAGAGGGGCTGTTGTCTCCAAAGCGCCACGATGGGATGGTCTGTCTTGGGGAGGAGGATCCAGCCGGAGGGTCTCCCCACCTGGTGGTACAAGTAGTCACTGGGAGCCATGGATCCCCCTGGCTGATCCCGGCTGTTGTCACATCAAAAAAGCAGTAAATTTTAGGAATTCTCAGGCAAGAGAGGAGGGAGGAAACCGGGCGCGGAGGTGGTCACTGTGCATTGTTGTTGCCAGTCCCATTGTTTCCATTGGCATTTGTGGTGTTTATAGTATTAATACCATCTTGCTGAAGAGCATCTTTTCTCGGTGGCATTCTCTCATTGATCCTATCCAAACCTTTTGCTTCTTCAAAACTGCAGATTTTATGTTGCGGAGAGAATCCTCGTATTGCTTAACAAAATGCAAATTTGATATGTCAGTAACGGAAAAAGAAGTTGAAAGCATATACTTTTTTTTTTTTCTAACAAACGATGTTTAAAAACAGGTAAGAAATCGGCCAAAGAAGCGCCTGGCTCTGCCTCTCTATTAGTAAAAGCTTCTCTAACCTGCTCTCCTGAAACGTTCAACGGCAATCCCGGGTTCAGTTTGTACCCAAAAAGGACAAAATATGGCAAATATTCGTTCTGGGAGCGGGAATCAAGGGGTTTTAAGCCCACTTGATGGGTTCTGCCTGTCCCTCAGGCCCCTTTTGCCACCCAGTGCCTGGGGCTGATCTTAAACCATCCCCCTTCCCCGGGCGGGATGTGGGTAAGATCCAAAGCCAGAGCGGATTTACAGGATGCGCCTCGAGGGCCCGATCCTGCAGTTTTCCACAGGCAAAACTGCAGGATGTGGTTCAGGTTCCGGGCTCATCCCAGGGAGGATGGAAATGGGAGACAACCAGGAACGCCGAGGCAGCGCCGTGGTTAAACAACGGCATCGTTTAAATACAGATGTATTTAAAGTCAGTCTAGAAAACTGGTTAAACAACGGCATCGTTTAAATACAGACGTATTTAAAGTCTAGAAAATAGGTATTATTTTGCTGGTGGTTATTGGAAGGGATGAGGCCCGGAGCTGAATTTAGACCTGAAAATGGTTGACCACGTACTAAGACTGAATTCTTTGGGAGGAAAGAATTCCTGGGAGATTTAAGCGCAGCTTTTCCACTCACAACAACAGGACCTCTGGCACGTGTGTGTGAGAACAGAATGTGGCACCTGTTTAGAAATCTTTGGAGCCCTGACTTCCTTAATTAAGAAAAAAACCCAAAGAATACAGTAATTAAATGGTGCTCTGGCAGCCAAATCTGAAACCCACCCCCCCCGAAGGTGACTCTCTCAGCTGCTGTGCCTGTTTGTCACTCGCTTCGTTCAATATTGAGCAAAGGGTAATTAAAATATCTCTGAAAAGACAACGATCTGACATTGGACACTCTGGACATGGAATAATTTGATGGCCTTTTGCTCAATACCACTAAGAAAGGAGGTGTCTAAGACTTGTTTAGCACAGGAGCACTGATAATCCCTGGAGTTACATGTGCCTCGTGCTGGCAGGCCGGGGTATATACTGGAAATAAATTTGGTCAACATGTTATCTTCAAAATCTATAGAAAAAAACATCACATCTTGCACTACCAGATGCGTTACAGAAAGGTTTTTTTTTCAAAAAAAAAAAGTTCAAAGCCATTAAAATAGGTTTTATGAGAAAAGGCATGCACAAACAACCCTCCTTCCACATAGACCCCCCCATCACACAAACCCTCGCAGGTGAATGCAGAAAAAAAACACTAAACACTACCAATTGGAAGGACTTCAAGACAACACCACATATCACAACATGCTATCATACAAAAACCTACTGCGGATTTTTGGTAAAAAAAAACAAAAACAAAAACAAAACAACAACGGAAAAAAAAAAAAAGAAAAAATAAAACAACAAAACCAAAACCACGACCAAAAACCCCCGAGAATTTCCCTAAAATATTCCAGATAAATCATCGTCCTAAAGCCAGAAATGAATGTTACATGTCAAAGGGATGAATCGGTGCCCTTGATTCATCTCGGCTTGTGCCAGTTGAAAGGAAAACACACCCACACAGAGAGCACTTTTGAATTCCCTCCCAGACACCACAGATCTCTGCCGGGGGCAAAGACTCTGATCATACCTTTTTCAGCCTCAATTGCCTCTACAGTGGCTGTACAGAAGTGAGCAGATGCATGCAAAATGAATGAGAAAGATGAAGAGTGTAATATCGCACAGCAGAAAAGGCAATGATCAATTTCATATCGCACGCTACGCCAGGCTAAATTACACTTGAAAATAATCCTAAAGGGTTTTTTTTTGGGGGTGGGGGGTGGGGGGTGTTGTTTTTTTAAGTTGAAGTGAAACGTCTAGATTTTAACTATTACAACTTATCGAGTATATCATAGCAACGCTAATTAGGTGATGTTATTAACTGCACGTTTCTATAAGCTTTTTGGTTTGGGTTGGTTTTTTAAGACAGCAACAGAAAATTTCAAGAAATATTGAAGCCGTGGCACGGTTTAAACAAAAATATTAAAAATCTATTTGAGACTATTATTTCTGAAGATTAAAATGCACTATAGTGAGCTTCATTAAATTACCAGGAAGGATGCTATAAAAATAACACCAGCAGTGTTCTAATGAGAAGAAATTATTTTTCTCTTTATGCTCAGCTCCCTGAAGTTTAACTACTCCTTTAATTTCTCACCCTATTTTAAGCTGAAGCGGGTAATGCCCACAACTGAACTGTGCAAGTTGTATTTACAAAATCTTTTAAATTCTTCAGTTGAATCAACAACAAAGTCTAGAGCAGGAAGAGGTCTAGTTGTTTTTCCAACTTAAATAACCCTGACATTTTCTTAGGTGTAATTTCTTAGGCTCTTTCCCAATTGTTTTAGCCCCAGAAGTCAAAACTGTATCATAAGATTATTAGCACAATCAAAATAACTTTCTATTTGGGCACATTTGCTAAAGAAAACACTTTGTAACTTGCACCTAAACTGGAGATAAGTTTCCTAACAGTAACAACTTTTTACCTCCCCTACTACCTGCCACGCCTCCAATGCCATAATTTCAGAAATATTAACCAAAAATAGCCTGTGTAACAGTAAACCTCTTTGTGTAGTGCTTGATACATCCTGTTAACAACAAAAATATAACAGAGTATTCAAGCAAATGATGGGGAAAATATATAAGAAAATATGGCATTAGGTCACAATAGAATCCTTTAAAGCGAATTAAGTTTATTAGTTCTTATTTCCTATCCATCAAAAATCAGATATAATTTTTCAGTTGCCTACACTGTGCCTCAACCTCACCCTCACTGTTCCATAAAATGATAATTTCCACTGAGATACTCTAAAAAACCACTTGCATTAAGTGCCACTAAAATAACGTGGAACACGCAGGGGTAATGCAGCATTTTAACTTTTAAAAACTGCACATTCCATAGTACCAACAAAAAATAATCAATAAATTACCTACACTTAAATCTCCAGAGACAAGGGCAATCCTAGAACTAAATCAAAAAGCCACTCGAATGGATGATTATTTGTGTTTACGTTAAGGGAAAGAAACTAGTTTTAAAATTAGTTTAAGAACTATTTTAGAAGGTCACCAAATACATACTTTCAAACTATGTTTAATTTGCCACACAAATAGAAAACTATGTAAAAAGACCACCTCTTTCCACCATTTCCTGTTACCTGTGAAGCCTTTGTTTTCAATCTTTCCCTGAAAAGATCAGGAATGCTGATTTATCTCTGCAAATTACGTAGCTTGGTTATAAATACAAATTTCAAAATTTACTCCTAGTTCATTCTACGTGTAGCTCTATTATTCCAGCTAAAGATCTTGGAATATACATCAATCAGTTAAGAAAAAGGTAATTTTCAACTTGACATAAAAGAACAAACTGACTGGAAAATACAAGCACTTAAAAAAACCCACACTGTAAAGACTCAATTTGGAAAATAATTTTGTTGGATTCTCTTTTGCAGGTACATCTAAATTAAAAGTAATTCTTTGTAAACCCTGATAAACCTCAAATAAGGACTGTGTGATCCTGATGTCACAGACAATCCTGAAGTCTTTGCCCAGAGAAATCTTGACTTGAGAGCAAATTTTAAGCAAGAGGGTTCAATGGCATTTCCATCCTCAATTCCAGCTCCCCGCTGCTTTACCCAGGGGATAGATCTCATACAAAATCCTTGCTAACTTTCAATTTAAAACCAAATAAACCCATTACTGCCCCTCTGACCAAAAGCAAAGGCAGCAATGAGAGATAAGAAGTATTTGGCTGGTTCAGACTTCCAGGGAACTGCTTACAATCCTTATTTTAGGCCTGGGCTTTCGTACGCCGCTGAATAAGGCTTTAGGTGTTTGGTTTGTGCTTTTTTTTAACAGATGTTGACTCAATTTGGAAAATAATTTTGTTGGATTCAGTTCACAGAATGTCAGTAGGAAATGCTACTTTAAAAAAACAGTACTCAATATGGTCTTCAATATTTCATCCACTATAATGCACGCAACGTAAAAAATAAAACCCATAAATCTACATTTAAAAAAAATGTAGAAACACACAAAGGCCACAATTTCCCAAAGTCTATTTTTATCCTAGTACATTAAAGCTATCTAAAAATAGCCTATACTTTGTTTTGCAAAAATATATCCATATATTTCTGGGGGAAAAAAGAATTAAATATTGACTTCATCCATAGGATGTCATTTTGCACTTTTTTTCCCTTGGACTTTTAAAATCTTTTTTAACTGATTTGTCTTTGCTTAACCCTTTCACCACAGTTAGAATTTGTATTTCACTCTCAGATTGCTCTGGTTTGCAGTAAGAAGCTGTTCAGGCGTTGCCCGTGTTGTACTGCCCAGTCGTATTCGACTGCCAAATATGTTAATGACATTTAGAATTCTAATAGGCATTTATGCAAAAATTGCAGAGGCACTGCCTTAATGGAGATGTACAGCTCCATGTCTATATATACACCAGCCCTGATAAAAAAACCAATCAGCCCAGCTCTCTAGAGAAATGTGGATACACACTCCCAATTCCTTACAGCTTCTCAGAGATTTAACCAGCACAACTGGAGCTTCTCCCAACATGCCATTGAAAAATGAGCACTCCTGAGACTGAAACCTGGAAAATCCATGACATATTGGTCAATTTTGTGACTTTTCAAGCAAGCAAAAGAATAGAATAAAAAAAAATAATACTACAATTAATATTATGGTCTTTTATTTCCTCAAATCTAGACTACTTTAAATGATTCATAGTATATTGATCAACATAGTACAATATACTTCAAAAGGTAATTAAATATCTGTAGTAAGAAATCCTTCTATACTACCAGCGACCATATTTTTGCCAAAAATATGAATTCACTGATATTATGATGGTTTAGAAAAGTGTCAATTAGGGAAGTTTTGTTTTTGGATTACTTCTAGCTCTGCAACTGAGCATAATTATTTGAAAGCTTCTACGTTTTAAGACTGAATCAATAAAACTCCTATCAGGAATAAGAAGTCACTGCAATTTAAGGAGAACTAACAGCTGGCATGAGTTATTTTGAACGATCAACATGACTAAAACAAATGAGGTATATTCACGTAGAGCATCAAGGAATATTGCCATCAAAAGTTCCAGTCAGGAAAAAAACACACCCACAAAAATCCAAAACGCATTTTGCACATTTTCCAAATGTCCCACATTTTCAGTCACAGTAAAAAGTCATATGTTTCATGTTAAAAAAATTTTCTAGTCAGTTTGATCCTCTCTGATATTTGTAATGCAACATGGATAAAAAATCTGTTAAATGAGTGAGAGGAATGCAGACTCATTTTTTTAAGCATAATAAAGTATCTTATTAAACAATGAAAATTAAAACTAGAACATATGCTTTTGGGATAGTTGATGGATTAGGAAACACACACCATTTCTTGTTATAGACATTCACAAAACAATCACATACATACACTGGACATATAAACTTACTTGTAGACATTATATGTCCACTGAAAAATGACTTAAAATGTGACATTCATGGTTCAAAGCTATTAAAAAACAGCTTTGATAGTTTAATAGAAAATGTAGTGAAAGGCTTTAAAAAAACTACATAGAAAATTTTAAAAATTCAAATAAGCAGCCTGAATCACAAAATGAGAAAAGCAGCTACTCCTGGAAAATCGATTGTGCAAAAAGTGATATTCAGGTATCACAATCCTTCAATAGCTATAAAATTCTGTGGTCCCATACAAGTTTTATGCTTTCTATTAAAGCCTGAAGATGGCCAAGAAAAAGCCTTTGAATAATTAACATTAAGAGTGCTGCTGATAGGAAGTCCAGTTTCAGACTGGTGTATCTTAGTTATCCACCACTGTGAACAGAAACTTGGACTTCATTCTTTTAATGCATTTGGTACCATCTCACAGCATTCTCCCTAAGTCTAGTTAATCATTTATGGGCCTTGTGAAAAATATGATCCAATGATTCAAACAACTAAAAAAAAGAAGAAAAACCTTTTACAAAATATTCAATGAGCCAGATTACAGGTATATTTTGTATAGAGTTCTTTTTATTTTCATGCAAAAAATATATGCACACTTAGTAACACCCTTTTATTTTGATTTATTTACAAGTTTTAAATTCAATCCCTTTATTCTCAACTGCTTTTATAACAATTACTGAATAATTTTCAAGTACAGTACTGTTCGAAATGCACAGACAATGTGCAGCAGCAAATGCAGCAAACCTCAAAAACAAGGTGCTACAACATTGCTTCTACATCAAGAGACAGACAAGTGTCTGGGAATAGTGGTTTAATTTCAACACTTATACAGACATACATCTATACCTAGAGAGAGACAGACAGATCTAAGAAAGCAGCTACATCTGCAGAGGAAGGAAACAGCATGTTACAAGGACAATTCAGGGAGGTCAATTATACATAGAACATTTGACAAACAACATAGAGAACAAACTTTGGCATTAATTACCAGGGTACAAAACGTAGCACATTCCAATCTATCAATGGAGTGTAATATGGAGCTCTGCAGCCTGTAGCTTTTTTGATAATACTGATATCAACAAGTACTTGACATTGTCAGTGAAAACACTAACGCATCCATAATAAAACCGTTTTGATGGAAAGCAGACAAGGAATGATGCAAAATCCCATTGCCATTTTTTGTGTCTGTAACGATCAAATGCCTCGATACCAGATCTATAAGGTCATCCCACCTCTGGCATCTGCGCCACCTGAAAGATTGGAAACTAAGGAAGCTCAAAGTGTGAAAAAAACCTGGCCCGACACCAGCTGAACTCATCGGCTTTGAGTTTTATACCCTGGTTAAGTCTCCAGTTCACATTGCCTGATTAAACACATAACACTCTGCTCGGATCAGCCGCTAAGACAAGAACTGAAAAGCATAAGGAACTCCCTGCATGCATTATGTGTAGTGTTAGCGAAAGAGTGAGATGTGCCCCAGTCCATCTGAGGCACAGCAAGCTGCATAACATCATTACCACTTTGCAGGGTCTGGCGTCCTCCGGCCAACACTCCACTAGGTAACATTCCAGTGGGAGTCAAGCCCTTGAGTGTCAGCACGCTTTCGCTCTCCTCCCTGGGGGGGGGAAAAAACCAAAAACCTTAAATAGCTGCTCATTAAAACCTGTATTAAACTAAAATAAGGGATGGGGAGAGGGAGAGCCTATTTTTGTTGTACTTCACGCGTGTCAAGACTGAATGTAAGTTCAAATTCAAACAACTAGGAAGGGGAAAAAATATTTCTATTCCGCGCCAGCCTTCCCTAGGAGTTATGAACACTGATTACTTCTGAACCAAATTCTGAGCAATTACTCACATGCTGGCTCATTAGCTTTGCAATTAGCACTGAATGCCTCGTGAGGTACTGAACACATCTCAGTGCCGTAAAACAATCCCCAATTTTGTTCAAAGTGTCTGTGCTTCGGGAAATACCAACTGAAAAAAATCACCCCTATTGGAACAATTATGGTCTGTGGAAAACTAGATATAGTGGGTAAATGCAATCATGAAATCTCTAGATCTAGACAGGTAATAGAAAATGTTACTTTTTTAAAAAGGTGAAAACAAATAAACAAAAGCCTGAAACAAAAAAAACCCCTTAAAACTCAACTTTTTGGTACGCCAGAAGTTTTTAGAGCCAGTCCTGCCCTGCTCCATTACAGCCTTGATTTCAGTCTCTCTATTTTGGTATTGTCTTTCCAACACTCACCAGTTAATGGTTGGACAAATAACTTGTAAACTAAGGATCATGTTATCTAATTTCTTGAAACATGCTCAAAAATAACTCGGAAGTATTCTTTAACCAAAAATACCAACATCAATGGGGTGCACTAATATGCCAAACCAGATTCTGATGCTCAATGACCTCCCTGATAAATGTCTGGCATCCGTTATCGTGGAAGAGATAATCTTTTTTTTCCTAATATATGTAAGAAGGGGGTTTAGGAATGCAGAAGTCATACCTGAGAACAGAGAAGACTCTTGCCATCTTGCCAATCGCACGAATTTTGTTTCTGATTATTTCTTTCCGTGCGGCAGCTGTACCTACTTTCAATGGAATAAGAGAGAGTCTCAAGCTCATGAGTACTTACAGGTTCCCCATTTTAGAGCGCATCGAATTCAACACAACTGTTTGAGTTCAGAACTCTTCACAGGAGGCCAGTACCCAAACACTTCAGGGCACAAAGATTAGAAAACGATGGCTTCAGAATGCCATCAAAACCACCATCACCTCTGTGTCCATAAAACACACACAAAAAAAGGTTTAGGAAGTTCTCAGTGACCTCCTAAAGCTAGCAAGCTGCTAAATTACCACCTCTGCAGTGTAGGAATTATCATAACTCGTTTGCCTAATTTTTACACTTGAAATTCTTCGCTGACACCTGTGTATATCAAGATGTAGGCATGCAGCCCAATATAGAAGCCAAAGAGATATTAAAGTCACAAAAAATAAAGATTTGTTGCTCATTCTTACATAGCTGTCCAAGGGAAAAGAGTAGTTTGCTTGGTTTTATGTCAACTCCCCAAACCACAACCCCACAAAACAAAATGCCAAAGATTTGCAGTGTTACCCTTAAGTTGCCCCCTTACCACCTAAGTCTGTGTTCCGTACCATCTTAGGTTTGCATCATTTGCAGAAATTAAAAATAGCAAAGATCTGGAGTAAATACTGCATATTCCACAGAGCAGGGACACACCATTTATGACAGATAAAAGTCAAGACAAAACTCTGACAGGAGCCTTGGGTGGGGAAGGAGAGCAGCCGCCTTCACTGGCCTTGACTTTATGAGAAGAGAAGCTCCATTTTCCATCCTTCCCCTCATCCTCCTTTCCTTTGGCTGGCTCCCCAATTCCACTAGAACAGTAAAGGCAGCTGAGGAGGTGTCAAAACTAAACTCCTTACTTCTCCTCAGCCATTGGAGAACATTAAACACAGCAAAGTAAGAGTAACTCAGTCACACTTTGAATTCAACCAAGGGGACCAAAAGTGAACAAACTCAGACAGCTCTGTTAGGTAATTCCAGATCTTCCATAAATCACTGCTCTCCAACCCCGGGAGAAACATACTCATTAAAAAGTTGCCAGACTAATTTGCAAGAGTGTAGAAGGGAGGCTGACAGAAGCGGGCAGAGGAAAGCTCCATATCCACTAATCTGTCTTCTCCCATTCCAAGAAGGCGGCCATGGAAGAAGCCTTTCTTCATCCCTGCTCACTAGTATTGAGCTTCCACGTGAGAGCACACACACACTCGAGGGCAAGAGTCACCCTTTTCAGAGCCCAGCTGCACACGAGTGGGCAGATTTCCCACCCTGAACACCAAACCCAGGAAAATACAAAAAAGATAAGGCACAGAGGGGCAAACAACGAAAAGATCAGGTCACAGGAGAAGGAAAAGATAGAGTAGCGACAAAGAAAAAAAGGGAGCAAGGGACAACCCTTCTACGAACACAATGAAAGTCTGACAAATGTCTGCCAATCCATTGCGATGAAATAACAAAGCCAGGAACTACCAAGTAAAGCTTTTTTAGAAGAAGGAACAATTTTAATGAACTGCAGACACCAAATTAAAAAAAAAACAACGAACAAACTAACAAAAAAACCAAAACAAAACACAAAAACCCCAGCAGGCTCAGGAGGAACTTTCAACGGGATAGGCTGAAACATTCAATTTTTACTGAAAAAAATTATTTTCAATTTTAACTTTTAATTTTTAAAGTTCTAGAAGTTTTTATTTTATCTCTTTGAACACTATTAAATAACAGCTTGAGGATCTGAAAGGAGAAGGAGACTCTCAAGAGTTTTTGAAAAGGCCAGGGCTAAGCAAGGCACCATCAATCCTTCCCTACAAGTCACCCAGTTTTCCTCCTCCCTACACCCTTCTGAGGGCTCCGCTGCTCCCGAGACGATTCCAGGCAGCACTAGTGCCCAGATCTCATACTCTCTTAAACAGAAAATGGCTGGTTTGGGGTAGTTTTGGTGTCCCTTTGGTGGTTTTTTTTTTGTTGTTTTTTTTGTTTTGTTTGATTGGTTTTGGGGTTTGGGATTTTTTTAACATGATCTTTCCTTGCCCCAGTCCTCCAGAAGGAACAGAATCAAGCCAAAAAGGCCAAATGTATTACTGCAGTGCTGCACTCATGTGGCCACTGAATCCTGGTGAGTTCAGAGAAGAGACAGTAAGGTGGCAACTGTCTTGGTACACCCTAAATTAGAGGGGATATGACAAAGAGCTCTCCCAGTCCCCATTCCCAATGCCAGCTCAACAACAAATTGAGGATGGGATGAGAGAGCTGGGGTTGTTCAGCCTGGAGAAGAGAAGGCTCCAGGGAGACCTTAGAGCCCCTTCCAGTCCCTAAAGGGGCTCCAGGAGAGATGGGGAGGGACTCTTGATCAGGGACTGTAGTGATAGGATGCGGGGGAACGGTTTTAAACTGAAAGAGGGGAGATTTAGATTAGATATTGGGAAGAATTTATTTGCTGTGAGGGTGGTGAGACACTGGGAACAGGTCGCCTAGGGAAGTCGTGGATGCCCCATCCCTGGAGGAGTTCAAGATCAGGCTGGATGGGACTTGGAGCAACCTGGTCTGGTGGGAGGTGTCCCTGCCCAGGGCAGAGATTGGAAGGAGACGATCTTTCAGGTCCCTTCCAACCCAAATCATTTTATGATTCCGTGATTTGGAAACCCTTATACTACTATGGTCCAAAGAATTCCCATAACCTTAGGAAACAACTCTACAATCTAATGCATTCCCAAGTATTACACATATTCTCTGGAAGTCACAAATTTCTACAGAGAGCAAACTGATTCCTAGGTCAGAAGAATTTTTCTGCACAGAATTATCTACCCTAGAATTTCCAAAACAGAGGTGCTAGACCATGAATTTAAGTTAATAGCCTTCTTTTTACATCTTGTATCGAGCCATCTTCAGAATTCCACATACAATCAAAAAGTACTTTTTTTGACATCTCAGTGGAAGGAAACTACGAGTACTCTACAAATCAGGTTTTGGGATATTGTATAAACACATTCCATGCACAATCTTAAAAAAAGCTCACGATAAAATTATTAAAGAGCAAGACAGACAACTGAACGCTCCCTACACATGCAGGACCAAAGATAAAATTTTAGAAATAGGTAAAGAATGAAATTCTACAAAAAAAGGAATGGAAGAGAGGAGGAAAAAAATTCATGCACAGAAAGACAGATGTCTTGGAATATGACTTCTGATAATAAAATGCACAAGTCTTTATAAACATCCCATTAAAATGGGTAATAATAACAAAATGCTATATATGTCTCTCAACAGAAAGGTATTTTCTGCGTTAGTACTCATACTGCCAGGTTCTATGAAGTCATATTTCAAAACATTCCTACTCTGTCTGGTCTGTACCTTTTTTATTGCCATATATGAGTCGCTCTTCAGATGGAGAGTCCAGAAAAAAAGGAAATGAATGATGGAGAAAAAGGTGAGTGAGACAAATAAAATAAAGATATTTAACTTGGCAGTGGTAATAAAGAAGGAATGGAGAAGAAATGTGAAAAAATAAAATGGAAAATTGCAACACTTAAAAATGCATTCGTCCAGCAAGAAGTGGAATTGTTGAGTGTATTTTCAAATTTGACGATAAACAGGTGAAAGCTTGAAAGTCAACAGTTAAAAAAAAGAAAATCCATTCACATAGAAAGATAAAGCGTAGACAGTACCTAGGTGGCATTAAGAGATGTATCAAGCAAAGAAATTGTTAAAGGAGACAGAAGAATAAAATAATTCAAATTAGGAAACTGCAACTATTGTACTGAAGACAGGGTGTACGCAATCAATTGATGACTGCACTTAACGCTGGACAACCTAAAACCTAACGTCCCAGAATACCACCAAACCCTGCCCTGCAAACACGTGGTGTAATTGCTTTACGCTTAATTTAGTAGGATCACTTGAATAGAAAACATAAATGAATGGTTTGCAGGATCACATTGGAGACTATTTGCAAGTTTTCACACTTCTGGCAACACAGTTCGAGTGGCTCATAACCAGTGCATCCCAACCCAAAGCACACCTGCTTGACACAACACTGCTCTGCTACTGGATTTGAACAGTTGTCAAACAAAAAGAATGGGGCAATGTCTCTATCTGCTGAAACTTTCCTTCCTCCTCTCCCATGGTCAACCAAATCCACCAAATCAGTTCTGCTACTGGATAAAGTGAAGTAAGCCCGAGGAAGTTTTAGGTGTGACATTAAGCACTACTGGAAAAAAACCAATCAAGTGTGATGTGCTGGGTCTTCACGTTAATGTTGCTCCTTAATCATCATGCTACAAACATCTCCTTAACAATCTACTGTATCGTAATTTACACAACTGAAGGATGTCATTACATAAGATAGAAAGATTAATTACAGAAATACCTATTACACAATGTACATATAAACATTCTCCTTTTATGCTTTAAACGCAAACACCAAGACTTAAACTTGTATCTCATACTTTCAGTATGATAGCACTTTGCCATGGAAGTATCACATCTGACTTTCAGCTGTATCAACTCTTTATTCTCAGTATGATAGCACTTTGCCATGGAAGTATTACACCTGACTTTCAGCTGTATCAACTCTAACAGCAACCATTAAGAAATTTAAGATCTTATAATAAACGTATTCTAAATATTAGCTAAGTAAGTTTAGTATATTTCAAATTCTGAGAATATTTCAAAAAAAGATTCCATTTTAAATAGAAATCAGATAAGAATACCATTACAAACACAAAATGCCAATTCCCTTCTCTGCTCTCTCACCTCCCCCCAAAGTCGAAGGCAATTTGAAAAATTTGAAGGCAATTTTCCTCAAATTCCAGGTAATATTACACCAGTCTAAGTTAACTACTGTTTCACAAATTACTACCATTAAAAAGATTTATAGATCTTAAAGTAAACCCTACCGTCAAATTGATCTTCTCCCTCTGTCATCAGTTCATCATCAGAGCAAATGCTCAAAACATTCACCAACATTTCTGTTACTGTATAGGAAAAAAAGAAATCTTAATTCATTCCCTGTAGAATTTTTAATGTTCCCATGCACACAAGATGCAACCAGTCACCAGAAGCTACAGTGACTGAACTTCCCACGTCACAGCCATTGCTCAGGAATCTGGTTTCAAAAATATGTGTTCTTCTTTATGTGTACCATCACAGAATTAAAAAACCTCAAAATAAGCAGCTAAAAATTATACCACCTGACAACCAAAGAACAGTCTTTTAAGACTCCGTCTTATAAGAAGATCTTTTAGATAAGAATTCTCTTCTTCTCTATGAGTATTTTTGTATTAGGACAAGTATTTGAATTAGTTTTTATGCAAAATTTACTTAAATATGAAAATGTTTTGACTACTCAAATTTAGGTTTAAAACAAGAAAGCTATTCTGTTCCTGGTACCTGCAGGCATGTAGTGGAAGCATTGAAGCAGACAAATATTATGATATAAATATGGTGCAAACTACATGTCTTTTTAATCTCCCATTGAAAATATCGACGTAGTGGATACATAAATTTGTCTCAAAAAGACACTCTTTTCTTTCTCCAGGAATCTCCCCATTCTGCCACTCAGTGTTCCCCCACATATATCAGATTCTTAAAACAGTCAAACTTCTCACCCTGGAGTGTTCAGAAACCTATTCCAGAAATTCAGTCAGGTGGTTAAAAACCCTGTAAATTGCTGTCTACATTTAATCATGACTAATTCACACAATGCCTGTGTTATCTGCTATGGTATTCTTCTCCACTCTTAGGAAAGGGTTACTCTCTAATGAAAAAAAACCCAAATTATTCTGATTTTGATCTTTTCAACATAGACCAGATGATATTGGCACCGTATCCTTCATCAAGACTGGAAGCATGTATTTGTCCAAAGGCAAGACAAACTACAAGGGCCATGATTCCAGCAGTTTTAATAATACAGGGGCTCAACGAGCAACTTATTTAACAGCACATGGTGTCTCATTACCAGTGTGATAACAAAAGCAAAATAAACAGTATTAATACTTTTTCACAATACCAAAGGGTATTTACTGCATCATCAGGTAAGAGAGATAAACAAAAAAGTCCTTTCAAATGTCAGGTCCTGCCATTTAAAAATAAAACCATTGCTGAGGGGGTTAACCACACTAAAAAGCAGCCAAATTATTTGCTTTTAAGAGCTCATTAAAGATAATATAGACAGATATAGAATTTTAGGTTTATATGACTGTAAAAATACCATCTCAAGAATACTTTTCAAAGAAATTTAAAGAGCTTTCCAGATCTCTTTTATAAAAAGTATAGCTTCTGTCATGGAAGGATTTTAAACAGACCCAAATAGCCTCTAACCTCATTGCTTTTTAACTGAAGACTACTTGGAGCCCAAGTGTCCTAGATTCAGAGTTACCAATTCTAGAGGGAAAAAAGAAAAAGAGATCTGTGCTAAATTATCTTTTTTACAAGAAAAATCATAACTGAAAAAGTTAGCTTTAATGAAGGTCAATCTGTTATAACTATATAAAAAAGTAAAAAATCTTACATGAACATCTCAACATACTTTATATCTGTAACTTTACAAGATTAATAATGTATATAGCCCAAGCATTTTGTAGAATATGAACAATTTTCATAATGACTCCAAATGCAGTTCAAAGGTACTGCTTAATAACAATGCGGGTATAGACCCTCAATGAGAACTGTAATTTCTGTTAAAACCTGTACTTTATCACATGCAGTTTAACTATCTTGACTGAAAGAGGCGAAGAAAGCAACCAGAACCTGCAGAACAAGTTGGATTCCAGACTATCCTTTCTCGGAAAGGCATGCCAAACCCCCCCTGCCAATCAGTTTAACTTTACCAAATCTTCTGTCTAATTAAGCATTCAAGAAGGCTCCCTGATAAAGACAAATACAGAAACCCATTTTCACAAAAATTATGCAATTCATCTCTCATTGGTAAATACGTTAAAAAAAATAAATCTTCCCATCATGAATCTGGGAGAAATAGAAAAGAAATTCATTGATGGGCAACTTTTGCCTACCTTTTTCTCCAACAAATGGCAAAGACCATGTGAAAACATCCATAAAATTTGGTAGCCAGTAAGGATGAGGAGAACAATTGAACTGACGAATATTCATCACATTGTTTTCATATTTTAATACAGCAGCTAAAACAAAATTGAGACATTTTGGAAAGAATGTTTAAAACTTGTGAGTACCACAAATGTCAAGTCACAGGGTTGTTTTAGCTCTATTTTATACTATAGACAAAATAAACATAGAGATACTCCATCCTCTTTCTTTCAGAGTGTTTCCAGGACACATTTCTAATGGAGAACTTTGGATTTTATGTTATTGCAAACATTGCAGTTTAAGGTACTGTCACACACCAGTATAGTTCTGCACTATCCTCTTTTGGTCTATAATGAACAAAGATTTTAAGAGGTCCTGAAAAGATATAAATTCAGCAACTTTAACAAAATTCTAACTCAGAAGAGCAGTATATTCAGACTCTGGTTTTATTCTTCATGTGTGTCTTCCCACATTGTAAGCCTGGAGTAAAAGGGGGAAAGGGAAGCCCAGAGAAACAAAGCAGAAAACCAGAAGCCTTCTAAAGCTAAACAAGCACTGACTGCATTTTTCCATACTTAAGCTGGCACTACATTGGGAATAGCTCATGTGAAAAAGGATTCTTAAAACACAATACCCACAGAGATGGTGAAAAAAAATGTAAAAAGCCAGTTGAAGCTATTCTTATTTCTCCTTTGCTTTACAACCAGTGCAGGTAACAACAGCTCAGCTTTTTCTCCATACAGCAGCCAGTTGAAGCTATTCTTATTTCTCCTTTACTTTACAACTAGTGCAGGTAACAACAGCTCAGCTTTTCCTCCATACAGTTAATCACCCTCCATAAGTGGTATGGGCTGGGGGGTGGTTCTTTGGAGGTGGGTGGCAGAAAAAGCAATGTATTTAATAGAAAAGAGGTCTTGGTTTCAAAGGAACACTATTTGAACATTTGGAGATCGTTCATTCACCACATACTTGAAATGCCATCCTTTAATGTCATACTTGAATTTCAGCAGGCTTTATTTTTAATTATTTCTGCTGTTGAACTTTGTCCTCATCTATGAATAGTATTAATTCACAGTTAAGCTCTTCTCTGTAATTCTGACTTGTAAATCTTTCTCTACATTATTAAGCATGCTTCTGTGCAACTTCATCTTAAGCAGAGGATGGACAAAAATTAATGCCTTCTGTGTTACACCTCCCTAATACCATTTCCCATGGTGAACTGAGATCAGCATTTGCACTTTCTTGATCTCCCAGACGTGCCCATTATGGCCCTGTACCTCCACAAAACACACACCTCCCTGTCTCACTTCCTTCACACTGACCACCTATTTATAAGCATGGTGGGTTTTATTTCACCAAGGTACCGACCACAGTTCAAATTCTTGGCGTTTATCTGCATGTGATGTGCAACTTCATCTTAAGCAGAGGATGGACAAAAATTAATGCCTTCTGTGTTACACCTCCCTAATACCATTTCCCATGGTGAACTGAGATCAGCATTTGCACTTTCTTGATCTCCCAGACGTGCCCATTATGGCCCTGTACCTCCACAAAACACACACCTCCCTGTCTCACTTCCTTCACACTGACCACCTATTTATAAGCATGGTGGGTTTTATTTCACCAAGGTACCGACCACAATTCAAATTCTTGGTGTTTATCTGCATGTAATTTCTTCTGCCCAGAATTAGACCCTCAGACGCCACGATACGCAACACAAACTGCCTTATGCACAGGCTGATTTCTTCTGCCCAGAATTAGACCCTCAGACACCATGATACGCAACACAAACTGCCTATTGCACACTGATCACTGCTTCCTCCCTGCCTTATTTAGTTCATAAACTAATGACAACCAGAGGAGTGCAAACTCACAGCACAGAAAAGCCTTGTCAGATTGGAAAACACCAGGTGATACATTCAGAAGTCCTAAATAGCAACGATTTTTACAAAGGAAATCTTTGCCCTCACTTGTGCCTCTTCTAGTACAGGAGATTGTAATTTATGCCATGTGCTCTTCTTCATAATATAACTTTTATTAATGGACTTTTTCTGTCCTTTTTTACCTGGCAAAAATTTTTTGATATTACATGACTTATCTAGTAAGCCACTTTTATTTTATGATTACATACAGATATTAATAACAAGTTCTTACCTTTATTATTGTAGACGTCCAAGTAATTAGGTGCTGAAAAAATTGTTATTAATGATGGGAACCCTGTAGTTTGACTTTTCCTGTACATTCTATAACTGCAAAACCAAACAGATTATTTTACATCTTACAGCAATAAGCAATTAATTTTTATTTTACACCATGAATAATTTCTTGGGAGGACACAAAGTACTTACCCTGCATCTTGTGCTTCATGTGCTCTAATGATTGACAACAAATTATTATTTTGCAAAAATTCACAAACTGCTGGATAGCTGTGGAAAGAAAACAACTATGAGTAAAAGAAATTCTCTTAAAATACGCAGCAAAGGTCAGCATTAAAACATCCAACAGATCATTGCATACTCTCACCTATAAAAGTATGAGCATCCTCTGACTGTATTGTGACTGAAATGCTCTTGTGAATTCTCATTTCCAAAATCTTCTGAAGGATCTGACCACAGTAAGTCACACATTGGTCCAAATGCTGGGGGCTCTTTGAATCTATCTAACTGTTTGAGAAAAAGGCAACAGCACAAAGACCCTTTGAATATTAAATCAGCAAGTTTTACACATTTGTTAAACTACATATCCATCAATACCAAGCATTTTACAATAAATCCCAACCATATCAAAGAGAAGTAGTTTCTGTATATTTTTTCCTCTCCTCCTCATGAAATAAGGCAGAGGCATGCCAAAAGAACCAAACCTGTTAAGAGCAATAAGATTTATTAGTTGTAAAAAGAAGGGAGATAAATTCCAGACTGATGGATATGCGTAATACAAGGTCAAGTTACAGACAAGGAACAAAATGGTCCTTTTTCATGCACATGCCATATCTACCAATCTGGAGACACTACCAGGAATTAGCAAAGAGAAACAGCACAGAAAACAGGAATTATAAAAGAAAAGGCATGAATAATTAGCACTGACTAGAAGAGACTAAATGTATCATCAAAAACACAAAATAAAACCCCAACAAAACACCAAACCCAACCAAAAAAACCCCTGAAACACCCATCTCCATAACGGATTGTTTAATAATGTGATGAAGAGGTGACCAGCTGAGCCCTCTCAGACTTCTTTCATGCAGGCTTTATTTCTCAGCTCTAGCCCTGGTGTAACGGGCCATAAGCATTTTGGGAGATGTCTCTGTTTTCTTTTCTCAAGGTGCTTCTTTACAGATTTCCACTTGGAAACACCTGCTTTAGGAGCCTGCAACTTCCCTAGTAACCACAGCCAGAAGGGGCAGAGGTAAAGAGGACAGCGCATTTGTTAACATAAAAGGAAAATACCCTGCTTAAATAACAGTCAATCAATCTCTGATGTCCCAGAAATGAAATTAGATATCCCAGATTCAATGTGAAGTTTATTTGGTCTTTACGTAGCTGGAGTTTGTTCACAAGATGATTTTATCCAAGAAATGTAGGAACAGTTCTTTGATGGACAGTGCATTTATCTCACTTTACCTCCCATACCAAAGAAGATGACTTTGCTGGTACTAGAGAACACTTAACTCTTCGTGACAGGTTCGAAGGGAGGTTTGGTGAGCACCTGGTGAATTTGAGTCTAACGGTCCATAGGAATCCTTTCAAATATGGAACCAGCAGTAGTGCCAAGCTCTCTCATGCCCTGGAAAATCAGAGCTCCCGAGGCTGCCACCTGTAACATAAGTGGAGAGGTCCAGATCTTTATAAATTCCTGCCAGATAATGGCAAGGCAGGTATTAAATGAAGTTGTTGTTGGAATTTATTCAATATTGAAAATCCAGTGGTTTAACATTTCGCACACTGGATGATATACCCGGTATGGAATATTTCTTCCAGATTCAAGAAGTCAGTCCATCAACTTCTACAAGTACCTGAATTTCTGTAGATTAAACCATCAAGTTTCTAAACCTCCAGCAATAAATTTGGGTCCAGCAGCTAACAGAAGCATTCACACAAGGAAGATTCAACTGATTGCCGATTGATGTTTCCTGCAATACAGAAGGCTGAAAGTCTAGAAAGCAAGTCTAAGAAATTTTCTAGAGTTATTCTTCAAGGATTTTCCTTATGACTTTGGCCAAATGGACAAAGACATGATAAATAAAAAGTTCTGGTTGCTGCAAGCAACTCATCTCTCTCTCTCAAACTACTTTCTCATCACATCAGAACAATAATGTAGCCATTTCTTGAAGTAAGGATGTCAATTTGTAAGAAATTAATATACTTACTTACACACCAAATCACTAGACAGGCTACCAACTGGTACGGTTCTCAAGACATCTCAAAATTTAAGGAAATGTCACTGCAAGCTACTAAACCCAGATTGCATATATCAAATCAGAACAATCAACTTCAGGGTTTCTCTACATTGGGACAGCAAGAAAGTTAACGAAGGCGATGAGTCAATTCAAAATACTTGTTACTGATTAACTATTTCTGAATATGGTGCGACTATGGCAAAACAGAATTTCAGTACAAATGAGCTTAATGTATTTCTAAATAGGATTAAGGTAACTGAGAAAGACAATTTTATTCAATAATAAGAATCACCACACCTGGTTTTCAAACAGAAATAGGTAGTGTATTTTTTAAATACAGACTGTAACATATTTAGATCTAAATTAATTTCTAGGTGTTATGCAGTTAGGGCTACCGAACTGAAATACATCATACCTCCACATGGATGTTCAAATTCAGGAGTAGCAAAACCTCAGAGGTAGATTAAGGTACAGCAAATTAAAACTGCTTTACTTTTCAGGCAAAAGACCTTCACGAAAGTTTCAAATAATTGAAGACACAGACACTAGTTTTAATTAATCTGCCCTAATTTTCCTGAGAGCTATCACACAGTAAAGTTCTAAAACCAACATGAAGGCCAGTGGCAGTCATCTTATATATTATTAAAGAGAAAGAAATTTCAGGAGAACATGGAAAGGAAGCAAGATATTATAAGGGCAGATTCTCAGTACTGCCTCTATAGAATTCAAGGGACCTTGTTGATGAAGCCTTAGTATCACCAAGAACTAAACAAAACAATGAGCATCTGTTTTAAAGGAAGAAGAAAATTCTCTGTCTCTCTTCTTTAAATTAAGAGTCCCCATAATCTTATCTGGACAGTTTTCCTCCTTAAAAATCACTAGGCTTAAAATCACAATTCCTGGCATTTTGTTTCAGCAGAAGTTCTGACAGTGCAAATGAAACCAACTGAACAGCAGCTCTAAGTTGATGGACACGCATCTGAAAGAGACACTCTTTACCAACACAATCAGAACATTTGTGTAAACGAAGTTCAGCAAATTACTGTAAGTTTTACAAACTTCCATTTTGCCAGAAATAAGAAGCTCTTGCAGCAATCTTTCTGGTTAGGCTTTACTGTCACACCTACCTATGTAGCTGTCCTCTACTGGATATAAGCTTACGCCAACAAAAATAATAATTTAATCTGTGCAGTTTAATCACCTTCCTGAATATTAATACTGACAAAAGACTTCGTCCAGAAGAAATTGCATTTACACAGATTTTATCTTTCTTTCTTAGTTTCCTACAGTGTTTATAGAGCTTTGATTTCCCTTCTTACACCAGATGATTATGCCTTTACATTTGCAGAGGAGACCGCTCCTTAATGAGAACTTCTGCTCATGAAGCAGAAGGCTTGTAATATCATACAATCATCTCAACTGTTTACAGGACTCCTTTCACACACCACGCTTGTACCACAAGTATACGATGTTTTCCTAGATACAGAAAGAGCATTTCACAGCACCCATTTAATTTAAATACGTTTACAATCCCAGTGCATGCCAAGCTGTAATGCAGCTATTGAAGCTGCTGCCAACCCAGGAACAGTGCCCTCTCCAAGTTAACAGATGATCCTTTAAAAAACAAAAAAGACCGAAAGAACAGCTCTAATAACACTGCCTTACATTTACAAACGTGGTTTTCATCAGAAGCAATATACAACGCATTTTTTCATGTATACATATATATATAAACATACAAGCTTATATCCTAATGTAGCCTTGAGTGTTATAGAACCACATAGGAAAATACAGGCCAAGATGACAGAATTGCCTTTTAATTTAATTTACTTGACACTTTGCAACCTGATTAGCTGCAAGACTGAGACTAAAAGAAAAATTAATCACAATCCTACTGTGACAGTGGCTTTCCAAAGTGTTTTTCCAGACTATGTCTCCTTTACACTACTTTCCAAAGAGCTTTGACCAATGTTTCTTTTCATCTGTAGTGTTAGAAACATTCAGGTCTTGTCAGAACGGCACCATTTACTTGCTTTGCTTTCTTACTTCTCTTTCTCTGCACAATGCATAGAGGTTTCTGTACACGTTAGTATTTGCTCCAAAAATGCCATGTGCCTCAGTACATTTTTCCACTTACACCACTGAGCTTGTAAACATGCTTCCTCCCTCTTTCTACCATTTTCTTCTCCTCTCACATCATTCTGCTCGGCAGTGTAATATCTGTAAGTGAAATAAGCTGACATTCCAGCCTCTGAAATGGTCCAGTCAGTACAAAAAAAATATAATCTGGTGAATTCAGAAATGAGATTCAACTGGACAGCAGCCTATACATCTGAGGAGAGGGGAGGTAAAAAGAAAAAAAAAGGAACACAAGCAAAGGCGAAAATCCTAAGAAAATGAGAAATACAATAAATGAAGATAAAAACCAAAATAGGCCCTCAATATTTATATACTGTAAAACCAAATTAGGAACATACTTTTTCCTTCTCTCCAATACTTAAATCTATTTTGACATAAGCCCCCACATACCTTCTTCCATATGTGGGAAAACAACTTTTTTCTTCCATCCTTACCTATTAATCCCAAAGCTTTCTTAGAACCACCTACTTATATTTTCAGCTGAAACACTTTAGCTGTTACTAATCATAATAGGAATGGTTTTGATTTCCAAACGCAGCAGTCAAGATGTCAGGTAAGTTAACTAAAATCAGTCAAAAGGAGTACTCCTTCTCTCCAATACTTAAATCTATTTTGACATAAGCCCCCACATACCTTCTTCCATATGTGGGAAAACAACTTTTTTCTTCCATCCTTACCTATTAATCCCAAAGCTTTCTTAGAACCACCTACTTATATTTTCAGCTGAAACACTTTAGCTGTTACTAATCATAATAGGAATGGTTTTGATTTCCAAACGCAGCAGTCAAGTTAACTAAAATCAGTCAAAAGGAGTATTCAAAAAGGAAAGCAGTTGAGTTTGAAAATTCTCATCTGATACAATCATCACCTGCCATCAGCAGACCATGAGAGCTGAAACCAAGTTATTAGAAACAGACACCTCATGTCATCACAAACTTCTTCCCTTTAAATCGCACAGCAGTATTTAGTGTTTCCATTGTATTTTTAAAACTTGTTTTCCTTCTTCTTACCGATATACTCAGCACATTTACCACAGCGAGAAGCACTCCCCAGCTGTTACTCAAATGCCTACCAAATTTGTCATTTTAAATAGCACTCTGAATTTCTATTAAATACTGCAATTTCACGCTCTTTCAAAACCAAAACCCACATGATCAAAGGAGAACACTGCAATTTCACGCTCTTTCAAAACCAAAAACCACATGATCAAGAGAATGAAAAAAACAATTTTCAAAGAAACATAAGAATAACTGAAGTATGATGTTGATGTACCAAACAATTTTAAGACTACAGTTAACTTCTATGAGTTGTGTCCTGAAAGCCATGAGAATATCAGTTTTTATCTAGAAAGAAATAGAAAGCACTTTTTGGATTGGATATGAAGCTCTTCGCATGTACTACCTGTGTCAGGAAACTATGTGAAGTTTTTTGAGGAGGGCTTTTTTGGTGTGTTTTGTAACAGTCCCAGCTGTCCCAATGAGATCTACTAATGGAAAATGCATTAGATAATCCAAGAGGTTTTAATTATGCTACTACTCAGCCTACATTTCAGTTCCTGATTTACACTTCCAACAGAGACAAGAACAGAAAACAATACGCTGACAATTAGACAAACATGACTTTGTATAGCATCAGAAAAATATCTGTATTTCCACTTATTTTCAAATTCACAAAATACTCACTCTCCTAATGTCATCTAGTGTATTAATTTCTGGTGAAAGTCCACCATGAACACAAAGAAACTGTTGATTTAAAAGAGCAGCAAGAGGGAGACAATCAAAAGCTTCCATACAAGCGTCGTAGACTCTTTCTGAGTACTTTATTTTACCTGCAGGAAAGAAAACATAAACCATTAAGAAATCCGTATTAGATGGAAGAAGTAATCTAGTGGATCATAATTATAAGAGCAAATCTCAAAGTGAACGTTTTAAAAAAACCCACAAAGCAATGAGTATTTTGGGGTTTATATGAGCAATTCCAAAGACTGCACAGCAAGCACGTTTCTAAGACGTATTCTTTTCCAGAACTATCAACTTTTTCATTTCTTCTGTTATCTCAATTGTGGAGAAACTATTGTTTTTAAAAAAAAAAAATCACAGAATTATTTTACTGTATACAATTATATAGCATAATTCAGTGTAAAACACTACTGATAAGTTTGTGATTTCTCATTTACTGTGAAAAGCTAAGGACTGCTTATGGATTACATTACTTTTAACTACATCAAAGAGGGGTTTAGCAGTGCAAATGATCCATTTATCACTCGATCAATACTTACACAAGCCTCCAAACGGACGAGCAGCTTACATAACCAAGAGAGTTATCTTACTAGTCTGGCTGAAATCAATTCCCCAAATGGCAAAATTACTCGGCAGCAAGTTACTTTGCACTCTCGATTATAGCCGAGACAACAAAATAGCCTTCCTCTCTCCAGGATTTTAAAATCCATATTGATAAATCAAAATTTCCTCCATAATGTATCTTTACAGCCAGCAGTCTTCTACACAACTCGCCACACTTAACTGCAAGGGATTCTACAGAAGTCAATGGGGCCTCCAAATCTTTGCAAGACCTTAATTAAACCAACAGACAAACATCTCTCAAGCAAAGTGACAGACCGTAGATCAGCAGGTTGGATGTGAGCTAATTTTACATTCTTACATAGTACTTACATTCTTGCTTAAAGGTAAAATACTCTGTTAGGTGTCTGCATTCGTGATTGCCTCGCAAAAGAAATAATGTGCTTGGATAGAGAATTTTCAGGACCCATAAGTACAGCACACACTGTTGAAAAAGAAAGACATTCAGTAAAATACACCAGTTTATAAGAACTTTAAAATTTATTATTGAGAAACATTGAGTAAGAACGTTAACAGCTTCAAAAGGAAGTACAGCTTAACGTGCCATTTTAAAATACAGCACTACTTCCTCGAGTCCAGTTCCGGACATGAGTTATGCAAATTGCTTATTACTTTTCTTAAGAACAGCACAGAATGCTGAAAAAATGTGTATTTACTCAACACTCAATAATAAAATAAACTCAGCAGAATTATACTGCAGAACACGTTCATAGAGACAAACCACGCATGAGTTTTTGCCTAAAATCTGATTTTATAATATGATCCTAAACACTGGCATAGGAAGGAAAGCAGATATTTATTAATACAGATTGAAGAAAAAAACCAAACCCACAAAACTATTTACATTAAAGACAGCTATATCATCTGGAGATCATTTTTAAACTAAGAATTGACAGAGTAAACCTGTTTTTTTTCCCCCAAACCAGGAAAGCTGGTGATTTATTCAGTCTTCAAGCAGTAAATTCAAAGTTATAGTAAGTTTCCGTATACCATTATTATTGCAACACGAGCAGCAGAGCTGAGGTCAGAGCTACAGAACATGCACAATTCTTTCAGTTTATAGTCCAGTACTACCCAGCAGCCTTGAATGCCCAAAATGTATTTCTTAAATTTCAAATTTCATTCTTGCATTTTTAACTGAGCACAGAAATCTGGGGTTTTCCCCAGAAGTTTTGGACTACACCGAGATCACCTGCCAGCTGTTATTATTATTGTTCTTAATCAATATGAATATCTTGAAGCTAATTTTGCATAGAATAGTAAGTACATAAAGGAAGAAAGAAAACAAAGGAACACTTTAAAAAACACAGCAAGCATGGAGAAATACATCAAAGATTTCTACTGTGAAGTTTAGCTAAACTAATTACTGAATTTTTCTTATCTTCTTAGTAAAAAATATGCAAAATAGTAATTTTTCTAATGATACCACTTGCTTTCCAATGTTTCTATAACTCTAAAATATCCCGATATATTGCAAAGTCCCCAGACTCTTTAAAACCGTTTCCCAGCAGAGAGCATAATCAGTTTCTTACAAAACAACTGCTTATCATAAAATGAATACTTGAATTAATCTGGCAAATTCTCCAATTGTGAACTGTTTTAGTTAAGTCAGTTTGTATGAAAAATTTATAACAGCTGGCAACCTTGAAAACATTTAATAGGAAAATGGCAAAACAGTCCCTTCTCTGTGAAGGATGGATACTCCATTTGACTAAACCGCTGAGATTTACACATTCTCAAGCATGTTACCTATTAAGTGTGATTTTTTTTTACCTTTCCTGTACCAGCATATTTATTTTTCATTATCAAATACAGACAAACTAATGTTGGAGTTCTCTATATCCTGTTACTCCCAGTACAAAAAAGAATTTGCACACACTTATGTGAAGGACCCCATCTTGATGCCAGCAGTTTGTTATATACAATCACAGTAGCATATCATTAGCTTATCTATTAGAAGTGATAACATTTTTTATTTGGAAATGGGTTACTACTGAAATATTAATGCAATTAAAGATGTTTCAGGACAGAGTGATTAAGAATTTATTAGTGAAAAATTAAATTTCAGTGTTTGTCCATTTTTAGAAAAGTTCACCTTCACTTTTCTGTGAAAAGTCAAATATTTTATCAAAAGCATATTACGTTTCCAGTCATTAGAAAAGATCTTAAAGTAAGCAATACACAAAAACTCCTGGAGGTCAACTTAAACTTCCCAAATGTTAACTAAGGCAAGAACTTCAATCAGAAAAAAATGTTAAGGTTAAAATGACGAGCAAATGGCTAATTTTCATGTACTAGTTCTTTCTTTCTCAAGAGGACCACAAAGCAGAGCCCCACCTTCGTGCACTTGGCAGCAATTCAACTTCATTCAGATAATCTGCCACCTACTTCACTGATGTTCCAACAGCCACTCGGAGAGGAAGAGAGCAGATTATCTCAATGAAGACAAGCCTTTTAAGAACCCTGGAGTGGTTTTCAAGAGTATATTTAGCATATCTTTACATATTCTGCAAGTATATTTAGCATGCCAAATATTATATTAAAAATTAAATTAAAATTGTATGAGGAAAAAAAAATTGAGCCTGTCCTTATTAACGTATTCAGGAACATATATTGTTCAAAAGTTTTCTGTAAGTGTAATGGTTGAAAAGCTTTCATACCATGTTTTGATATATTAACATTTACTGTTGCTATGTAAATATCCTTTTCAAGGATAATTACATCATTTGTAATCATCAAGAAGAGACCAAGAAGATCGAATTAAGAAATAGTGAATATCTGTTGAAATTTTTCCATATAAATGACCTTGAGGCGATCCCTCTTGCTGCTTCTCCCGTTTGTCTACCATCCCTAGCAACCCCAGAAGGCATCGTGCATGCCCTTCACAGCATATACCCACACATGGTATTAAAACAGTATAATTTTAAGACAGAAATGAAGTATCATACACCATGACTTGCAAAATACTATTTCATAGGGTATGTCACTCTCTTAGATTTGGTAGCTGTGAAGACATCCCAAGCCGAGGCACTTCCCAAGCTGGCTCCAGAAGAATAGTTAACTTAAAAAATTTTATCATAGCTCTGAAACTAATTGATAGGAGTAAGTGAATATTTCTGGAATGTAGTAGATTTAATAAACATGCTGAAAATTAGGAAAATTATTTGAATTCAAAATACCTGAAAAATTAATGGCAGAAACACAGGTCATCCTTAGGGAATATCTGTAATCGCCCTCAGAATTTTAGTAAAAAAAAAATATTAAGAATTATTAAAAAACAGTTGATTACATAAGAAAAATGAATCTACTGTATAAACAGCTATAATAAATGAGAAAACCTTGCAGTCATGACTCACCTGTTCTCCGAAAACATACAAACATACCTTCCTGACAGAGTAGCAGGATTATGTATAATAATGCTATAGAATTCAACTTTTTTAAAGCTAACTAAAGAAAGAGGAGGAAAAGTGAGTGAGTCTGGTGATTTCAACAAGACAGTCCAAAATGGCTGGTCAATATCCTCCTGTAAACAAGCCTTTGTCATAGGAGAAAGCACAGCAAGGAAGAACACATTCACATGTCAAAGCAGACCTAAAATTTCATTTTAAAACCTCCGTGAAAGTGTGCTTACAGAAAAATTTAGGACAAAACAGATTAATATATTCAGTTACCTCTATACTAAAATAACCTCTGTCTACATAGTCACCGAGGAAGAGGTATCTTGTGTTAGCAGGTGATCCTCCCACTTCAAACAGCTTCATTAGATCAAAGAACTGGCCATGAATATCACCACACACTGCAAGCAAAAATTTTGTTCAAATTAATTTAAAAAAAATCTAACAGAAAAATTACTAAGTTATAGTTAAATAAAGAGCCACAAAGTACTTCTAATTAAGAGGAAAGGCATGTATAAAGCAGGAATAACAGAAATTTTTGAAGCTTCCCCCAATGTTTTTCATGAAGATCCTGTCCTTGCTGCCTGTGACAAAGCTGATGTTTGTCCTATTTGAATCTAGCAGATTGTGGAATATCTTTCAAACACGGTTAATGCACTGAGCACTGAGGTACTGAAAGTTGTCAGCAGCTCTTTATTGGCCTCCTCAACCTCTTAGGTATCTTTGCAAATTCTGCTTTTGCTGTGTCCACGTGGGATTGAAACAAGCAGGGAGCACTGCTTTTGTTTCCGAGTCAGACTAACACATCTTTTTAATCTCAACATCTCTTCTCTTTGCTCAGTTACTTTTCTCCTTCAAATAACCACGTTCACTAGTTCAACAGTGGGTTTTTCTTGTGTCTTTAGAATATGAGACAGGACAAGAGCAGTGGTCAGCAACCTAAGGCAGAAGTACCAAAGATAGCAGTTGGGAAGACTTTGAAGAGCACGCAGCAAAACCAGGCCATGTCACAATTTAAAAAAAATAATTTAAAAAATGTATGGAAAAAGACAACTGCTCCCAACTCCTCATTCCCACAGGAGTTCCCAGCTCAATGAAGTCAGGAGCTGCCTTCTCACTTCTGCATGAGGTATTGCTGATAACAATTAACAGGAATTTGAGAGACTGTGCCTTCCGTTGGTGGAAAATGTCACCAATCAACTGACAAATAGCACCTTCCTCAGAAGTTTATCAGCAAATTTTTTAGTAAAAAAGTTACTCTAATTTTGGAAAGAAATATTGGACATGGCACACCACACTTTAAAGGCTGTTATTCCCTTGGAGCAGACCATCATGACCTACAAAAAATTAGACTAAATAGAATGCATCCTCTTTTATGTCACTTTTCTTAAGATTTCTACTCAAACACAGCAAGAAATTTCCTCCTTTTTCAGCTGCCAATATACCAGTAGCTATGGGTAACTAAAAATTCTAAACATATGGACAACCCTGTAGGTATAAGCTTTGTCTGGAGCTTCAAAAGACTCTGAATTCAGACAGCCACTTAGAGGCTTCCACTATTTCAATCATTATTTTTTTTTTAAATTGTCAATAATAATGATGTTCTGTTTAAAGGTTTTCATTTACCCAATAATACATTAAAGCAAGCTGATGTCCTAAAAGAAGCTTTACAGATACTAATTTTATATAGGTTTAAAAAGAAAACACATTCAAATGAAAGAAAATCCGATTTGAATACACAAATAAAATCACCTTCTTTATCATAAATAACAGATATGCAACACAAACTATTTTTTTATGAGTCCAGACTGTTTATAAATAAAACCACTAAAGGACACCAATTCCACCTTCCACCAGGTCAAACAGAAATAGAACTAGTCAAACCACGCAAATACTCCAAAAAACCCTAAGAGTCAGGTTTGTATCACAATGGACCTGGTTCTAGCATGTTACAGAAGCTAAAATAATCTTTCAACACTTTCCAGTACTAGTGCCCTCACAAGAACCTAAAGAGGAGTTATAAAGGTGCATTTTTCACTCAGAATTCCATTTCACAGCATTTGCTTCAAACCACAGCAATTAGCTTTTCTTCACGTATTTAGATTTTGGGTAATTCTGAGTTCATTTTTCTATTCCAGGTAGGTGCCTTTATTCCCACTTATAGCATTGCAGGAATTAGAAATCTGTAATTCATCAGCATCTAACTACTTTCTAATTTGTCATTTTAATACCAATCGCTCTATTTTTTTCCAATAGGTTTAATGCCTTCATTTTGCAAAATAATGCACAGCCCATTTTTTCAGACCATTTGAGTGCTATCAAGCAAATGCAGTTGTGAGGGATAATTCAATAAGATTATACAGACATTTTTACTGTAGCAATTTTTAAGACAAACTCTATTACTGAAAAAATCTGGCTTCTTTCCAGTTTAATTATGAGTGAAATTACCTAGAAATATTACCTGTAATTGGAGCTTCAACTTCTATCATAGTTTTTTCCCTCCGTAATATTGCAGCACCCTCATTGATGATTCTAAGTGCAATTTCTTCATCCACTCGACCTTCTTTTATCAAATGGTTCTTCAAAATGTCAACTCTTGGTCTTCCATCTGTGTCAAACACTTCTTCAGATGTCAAGCGATGCGTTGGTGGAAAAGGGACAGCTAAAATTTAAAAAGAAGAAACAGGAGTCACAATAATGTTATTTTTAAGATATACTCCATCTAGGATTGGATTTATCGTCTATTTGAAAAAAAATAACATCTGTAACGTGCAAGTTTGTAGAAACTATAAAACAGAATTAGAAGGCACAATAACATGTACAACATCTGGAAGAGTCAAAACTGCCTTTGCACAGGGACATCATCTCCCTCCAATACACTGCCATTCTCTGAAGGACTCAACAAGCATTGGGGATGCAGGAGATACATTTAATAGCCACTCAGACTTGCAAAAGGCATTTTGAAATAAGCCCATCATCAAAGCCTCAAAACAAAATAAACCAAACCAACCAAATAAAATCCCACCAAAAGAAATCCAAAGCAAGAAAAGGATAGAGTAATGTTTAAAGGACTAGAAATAAAAGGAAATTTTCACTCAGAATTCCATTTCACAGCATTTGCTTCAAACCACAGCAATTAGCTTTTCTTCACGTATTTAGATTTTGGGTAATTCTGAGTTCATTTTTCTATTCCAGGTAGGTGCCTTTATTCCCACTTATAGCATTGCAGGAATTAGAAATCCGTAATTCATCAGCATCTAACTACTTTCTAATTTGCCATTTTAATACCAATCGCTCTATTTTTTTCCAATAGGTTTAATGCCTTCATTTTGCAAAATAATGCACAGCCCATTTTTTCAGACCATTTGAGTGCTATCAAGCAAATGCAGTTGTGAGGGATAATTCAATAAGATTATACAGACATTTTTACTGTAGCAATTTTTAAGACAAACTCTATTACTGAAAAAATCTGGCTTCTTTCCAGTTTAATTATGAGTGAAATTACCTAGAAATATTACCTGTAATTGGAGCTTCAACTTCTATCATAGTTTTTTCCCTCCGTAATATTGCAGCACCCTCATTGATGATTCTAAGTGCAATTTCTTCATCCACTCGACCTTCTTTTATCAAATGGTTCTTCAAAATGTCAACTCTTGGTCTTCCATCTGTGTCAAACACTTCTTCAGATGTCAAGCGATGCGTTGGTGGAAAAGGGACAGCTAAAATTTAAAAAGAAGAAACAGGAGTCACAATAATGTTATTTTTAAGATATACTCCATCTAGGATTGGATTTATCGTCTATTTGAAAAAAAATAACATCTGTAACGTGCAAGTTTGTAGAAACTATAAAACAGAATTAGAAGGCACAATAACATGTACAACATCTGGAAGAGTCAAAACTGCCTTTGCACAGGGACATCATCTCCCTCCAATACACTGCCATTCTCTGAAGGACTCAACAAGCATTGGGGATGCAGGAGATACATTTAATAGCCACTCAGACTTGCAAAAGGCATTTTGAAATAAGCCCATCATCAAAGCCTCAAAACAAAATAAACCAAACCAACCAAATAAAATCCCACCAAAAGAAATCCAAAGCAAGAAAAGGATAATGTTTAAAGGTCTAGAAATAAAAGGAGGAATTAGCCAGCACCCAAAAAGGGAGGAGGTGGCTGGAGGAGGCCCACTAGAATCTGTGCTATTTAATTAATTCATAAATTACACTGAAAAGAATGTAACTCATAGAGTGACGCAGCCTTCAGGTGACAGTAAGTATCCCAAACAATGAGGAATAGGGCAGGCTATGAAGAGCTACAGTAGTTGTCCGTGCTACTGAGTGCCTCAGCAAAATATCCCACATTAAATATTAATAAATGCAAATTAATGAAGGAAATAAATCCTACTTTACATATAAAAATCACAGATTATAAAATTACTATTCACAAGGAAGGTCTTTCCTATAGTTCTATCAAAATACTTGATGCTGGCAAGTCAAAGAAAGCTAGAAAATGGAATGTTAAGAATTACTAATAGAAATAGAGAGTAGTAGTAGGGAACTACTAATAGGATAGAGAACTACTAATACAAACAGAAAACAAAAGAAGAGGCATTTATGCTGCTGATAAATTTAGTATGCAACTCTCCGAAGTTAAACTATACATTCCAAAAATCAATGTTTGAACACTAAAACATTCACTGACTCATTTAAATTGACTTCTAGATTACTAGCCACGCATTGCTACCCTTCTGTTTTATGCAGTAATAAAAAGCTATCAATAAAACAACTGGCGCATAAATCACATACGTATATTCACCGAAATCCAATTATAGTAGAAAATAAACCAGAGAATTGTCTACTCTTCCTGCTATAGAAGTTTCTAAGTAGGAAGAAGCTGAAAAACACGCCTTGAGATTATACAGTGTAAAACAGATTTGGCACCTTATTTTTGGACATAAAGCACTTTATTAACAGAAAAGCAATGGCAGGCCTTGCCTTCCAGTCTCCTCTAGTAATGATTCAAGTTTCACTTGGAAGTGTTAAAATTCCATGTAGTCCAAATGTTAATAAACTTAACATATTTAAGAAACCAAAAGACAAGCACTTCTATTCCATGCTCAGTTGCTTAAAAACATAAATCTGTCTCTGAAAAGAGAAGTCCTTTATTCCAACAAGACAAATTTAACTAATTTTTAGAAGCACTTCATTATGACCATGCAAGCACCAATTAAAGCATTCACTGTTTTTTTAAACTTGACTTTCCAACCTCATATTCTCTTACTGTTATTTTTGAATTATTTGAAAGTTTATATTAATCCGTACATAAATTAGTTTTAGGCCATTTCTTCCTCCGCTTTTATTATTTGTGGGCCCACAACTGCTTTTAGCAATGCAAAGTTGAGCTCATCCTTTTATGAGAGACCAGAAAATTCATGAAACACATTTCTCCTGCTTTAATCGTTGTAAAAGCATTAGAGATCACACCTTCCCAGAACCGAAGTCAATCACCTCCAAGACACAGTTTTGTTGGAACTGTGCCTCATTAGTTCTAACATTATTTCTAGATAATGAACTACTTAAGAGAAAGATGACCCTTCTTTCTTTTTTGGGACTTTTTTTTGGGTATATACAGGGTGTGATAGAGAATGGTCTGCTTTTCCTTCTCCTATGTACACTACCAGTTGCTCACAATTCAAAAAGATGATGTTGACCTCCTGCTTACGACAGATCAGAAGTATTTCAGGGCTTCTAAGCATATGGCAGATGAAATTTTCTTCTCTTAATATGTCCACATAATGTAATTTCAGATCAGATTTGCAGAAAAAATTAATTCTGACTATTTTAACAAACTACAGCTTTGAGTTCATCTAGCAAGTTACACTTTCTGGGAGGCTGTAAAACCAGATGTTTCTCTCCAGTGTCTGGAAAGAACTGTCTCAAATTATTTGAATTAATATACTTATAAAGATTCAAATTAAAAACTGTGTATATCCAGGGCTTACGAATAATGTCCCAAAATCCCGATTGTTAGCATCAGATGTAGTTAAAAGTATCTGTAAAGTTATATTTGCTTCATGAAAAAAAAAAATGAAGTCTTAAAACTTCTCCTCAGAGTTTAACAAAATCCTTTTCACACAACACATGTATTTTCCGATTGCTCAAGAAGGATTTTTTTTAAATCCTTTTCACACAACACATGTATTTTCCAATTGCTCAAGAAGAATAACAGAGAAGGCAGAATAAAACATGGCTAAAGATTTTATCTGCCCTATCCAGCTGAATAAAATGGTAACACTTACTATAAAAACTGTTCCTTTCCAATTTATACTTTAATTTTTGTCTTAACAATAGTTAACACTATATTAGAGCTCATACCTTTGAAAAATATTACAAATAACATCTTCTAATAGGTTAAGGATGATAATTTTTGAAGCATGTAGACAATTTCTGGAAACTAATGGGTTTAATTAAACCTTTGATGAAGTAGTAATAGAATGTTATAGCCTAAGGAAAAAGAATTGCAGCATGATGTGTTCCAAGACAGAAATATAATCCATGTTTCAAAGTCTTTGTGCATAACCTGCGCTCTCGGGACTGTAACGGAATGGTAATTAAGAGGAATTACCCTAAGGAAATAACATGCTGTTGGTCATTAAAGGATTCCCTTCTTCCATCCCCAGCAAAGCCAAGCAATAGAAAAGCATTTAGAGATGAATCTCTACAGCAACACACACTGCAGTACAAAATAACAGACTAGATCCTGTTAGTAAAAGTATAGATGTTAGTAACAAAGATAACACATTGTGATTTACAAGAACATAAAAGATTGTCTAAAACAAACCATTTCTTACTAGTCAAAATTAATCAATTTCATTTTTAAAATATGTACGGATGATATTATTTTTACTAATTGATTACAAATGTTAGACAGTAATGCTGGGGAAAAAACCAGGGAGGAACTTTTGGGATTTGTTAACAAAAACGGTTTGATGTTTTTTATTACTATTTGTACATGCATTTAGCAAGAGGGGGGAAAAAATCACCTTTCTTCTATACTTAAAACAGAGATATCTAAACCTAGTTTTACACTGACTTTCCACAAGCATCTGGGTTTTATAACTCAGAAGAAAGCACGGTGCAGAGATCCAAAAGTCAGCACCAATCTGAATGGATAAATCCACAGGACACGTAAAGAGGTTCAAAAGTAGAAAAACTCCATTAGCACAGTGCTTTACCCCCTATCCTAATCCCTGCTGAGAGGGGCAGTGCGGCAACTAACACAAACACGCTACTTCCAGACCCAAAGCAGATCTCCCATTGCCTGGTAACTGAGTACAACAGTAGCTGCTACTAAAATCTTACGTGTAGATACTGTAAATTTAAGGCACGCTGATATATATGGCCATTTTAATAACCTGGGTTAAATCTGGCTTGTATCAGAGACACCCTGTTGGAACTGGCTCGGGAAACAAGATGAGATCAAAGGCTCTAGACAAATGGTAGGAAAAAGTATCAGGGATCAACTGTGCAAGGTACCATACTTCCACAAGCCAACTATTTTCTGCTCTTAAGACCTTAAAACTTATACAATTCTTTTTTTTCCACTGACAGCGAAAGAAAATTAGCCATTTTTCTCCTATAATCAGGAGCCCATGACACATCCCATCAACTCAGCTCTGGCTGTAAAAGCATGCTCAACATCCCAGATTGCATTTTCTGGTTTTAAGAGTGCTTTTGATTTTCCCAGATAACATCTCAGCTCACATTACTAAGGTTACTAAACACAGACCTTGTGTTTGTAAAGAATTTGTTGCTTCGGTGGTAGGTACACACTAAAGCATATATAATGTTTGTCTCCACTAAGTGCTATCATATATCAATACATCCACGGTGTTCCGGGAAGGGACAGGCCAGTATCCTTCATTCTGTCAGCGGGTTTATTACCTCGATAGCACGGTTGTCTGCGGTTTTTCTGCTGTTTGGTCAGGTTTTGTGGGCTTTTTGGTTTTATAAATGCATTGCTGTCTGTGTATTGTCACTCAGAAGGATAACAAAGCTTAACACCTTGTGCATCTTTTGGTCTGTCCCTGGAGTTTTCCTGCCCCTGCCAACATCTACGCAGAAGAAAGAGATGTAGCGCCCATGACTGCTACGAGGACAGAATATCTCCAATTATCCTCCTGCATTTGGCAGAACAGATTTGAAAAAAATAGCATAAAGACATCGCAGATGGTCTAGGGACCAGCAACCTTGACAATATTAGTTAAGCACAAACACACAGCAGCATCTACTCTGATCAGAAAGCTAGACTCGATAGTTGTCAAAAGACAGGAGTTACCATGTTCATCCCAAGCAAGAAAGCACAGATTCAGCAAAGTCAGTTTCTTGCAAATTATATTTTTCCTAAATTCCACAAAAAACCAATCCCTTTACACAAGTCTCTTTGAATGCATGCTGCCTGCTGTATTAACAAGCACCTCAGAAGCAAGGCAAAACGACCCCGTAAGCCTTGAAACCCTACAAAAGCACTGCAGGCACTATTTATTTTATCCTTCCTTACTACATTCTTACAGTCTTAAGTTTCATAGAATTTTATATCTCAAATGAAACTACTGATACATCTAGTATGCCATGGTGCATTCATCTTTTATACTGTCTGTGCGATTTTCCAATTAAAATGGCTGATGCTTTTTGAAGTTTCTCTCAGGAAAAATGTAATTA